GAGATTTACGTCTTAGTCAATAAATTAAGTACGAACATTCAAATAAGTAGTGAAATTCATCACCAATAGCTTGATACGGACATAAGGAACAGAGCCTATGATCAATTGCCAAATGTCTGCCTTTTTCAATTGGTAATAGGTGATTCATTGTTCTTAATTTACATAACCCATAACCGGGGCTGGATTGACTTTGGGTCGGGTAGACTATGGGACGTATTGACTGTAGCGTATCGTCCTGAGTTTGTTCCTCCATGAGGTTTTAACATCTACCAAACGTAACATCCGAAAAATTCGGAAGTCGGCGGTTCAAAATGGCGTCGAATAAAAAGAAATTAGATGAAAAACATTTGAAAATGCTACAGGAAATGGTAGCATTGCCCCATGATAAGCAATGACTGACTGTCATCAAAGAGGGCCAACATACGTTAATATGACAATCGGTTTATATGTCTGCACGGCATGCAGTGGCTTACTGTAAGTTTTTGAAACATTCTGAAAAACAAGTAACAGTCACACTGACAAACTGGCTTATATTTTGTACGAAGACATTTACGTAAAAATATATTTTAAAGTTTATAAGTTTAAACAATCAATAAGTATCTTAGATATATTAAAATTTATTGTCCCTAAGACCAAAAAACTTAATTCAAGGACAGACTGTGTGACAGGGCGGACCCAATCGGACCATAGATCAGGTCAGGCAGATAGTGACTTGCGACGAGATTGACCCTGCATTAATATTATGAAATTGGGTACGACCTATGACACTTAAAGCACAAAGTTTTTAAATATAATATGAAATTATGTGCTACCTATGTCGCGGAAAGTTCTAAACAAAACAAATAAATTGGTGGTGTTCAACCTATTATCGGAGCGCTCGGAACATTCCGTTAATCTCCGAACGTAAAGGAGGACCACTGCGCATGCGTCGGCTTTTGGAAAATCCTGATCGCCATTTTTGTTAATCTCTAATCACAGTTGTTGTTTTAACGTTATTTTTAAGTGTGCTAATTTATCAAAAAGGATATGTTAAAGTAACTTTTTTATATTTATTATCGTAACTATAGTTCTTATAAATAAAATGCATGTTTACTTTCTGATTTTGCACATCATTCATTCACCGGAAGTGTTAATTAGCATGCGTCTGCTAACAAAAGTCTAAATTATGTAGACGCTCATTAAAAGCGCTCTGAAATCTATATTTAGCTCAAAAGGATTTCAAAATGGCGGCGCCCAGTTAACTAAGTATTTTTTCACAGCTCATTAGGTATAGCATATATATTTTTTTGAAATTTTCACTTACGTTTAATTTGATTTCATTTGAATTTATACGCGTCATTCATGTTATCTTACAGCGCTACAGCCCTCGCGGGGTCTGTCTGTCAGTCTGTCCGTCCAGAAAACTGGATCCCGTGATAACGCAAAAAGAACTGAAAATATTTTTTATGAAACATGATATATGGATAAATGTCAGTATGGAGATTATGCACATCTTTTTCTTTTCTTCCTATGTTGAAAATTCTGGTTGTTATGGCAACAAATAGACTGAAAATATGACAAATTTTACACATAAACTGGATCCAGTGATAACTCAAAAAGGATCCAGTGATAACCCAAAAAGTACTGAAAATATTTTTATGAAACTTGAAATATGGGTAGATGACAGTCTGGGAATTATGCACATCTTTTTCTTTTCGTTGAAAATTCTGGTTGCTATGGCAACAAATAGACTGAATTTCAAGATTTCTGATTTAAATTTTTACGCTTTTTCACTATAAGTTCTTTATTTCTTAAGGTGTTTTCTTTAAACTTTAAATATAAGTTTCTGGTCATCAACCACATTATATATGACAAGGTTTACAACTCTAGCAGAAAAATTATCAGAATTACCTCCCTTGAACTTAAATTTTTTATGACAATAATGTTGTCTTTTTTAAATAACTTCTTTATTTATTAATGTATCTACTTCAAACTTCATATATATGGTTCTTATTATCACTCAACATTTGTGAGAAGGTTAAATACTAGCAAGACTATTTCTAGAATTATCATCACAGTCCCCCTTGAACTTAGATTTTTTTCGAGAAATTGGTATTTTTTACTCCAACTTCTTCATTCCTTATAGGATTTTCTTTAAAATCCCACATCATAATAATATGACAAGGTTTATACATCTAGATCTTATTTACAGAATTATCTCCTCCTTAAACTTTCAATTTTTCTTATTCATTCTTTAACTTTCTTATTTCTTATTTTCTTCAAATTTAAAATAAACATTCATTATTAACACCTACATTATATTTTTGTTTTTAATTTTCATCTTTGTTACTTACTATACATTTTAGTTAATGCTATATTTGAAAATTGTTTTTTTATTTATCTTCTTAGTGACTATAAATGATAGTCACATCAATGTTAATAAATCTAGCATCTTTATTTCAAGAGTTATCTCCTCTTTAAGAATTTTGTATTAAAATATGTTACATTTTGGTAACAGGGATGTTTAAAAAAAATAACTTAAGAGTCTCATTCAGTCTGTCTGTCTGGATAAAAACTGTTTCCTGAGATCACTTTAAAGGTTTTTTCCAAATAATTTACTTAAAATAGAGAAAAGTTGAAAAATTAGTTATACTTATTCATCCTAAGAAAATTGGACCGTTTGATTATATGTTGTATAAACATAATTTCCTTACTAGACAGGGAAACTAAACAAATTACTATGATATAGACAAACTTAGAACTCAAAAGATTTAAGTTCATTTATGTCATTCATTCACTGGTAAAATTGGATGGCAAATGGGGGCTGCTCCGGCGGCCATCGGCCGTCGTCATGCGTCAACAATCGTCTTCTTCTCTGAAACTACTGAGCAGATTTACTTCAAATTTGGTCTGTAGCATCCTTGTGACAGTCACACTTGAATTTGCTCATGTCAGTCCAATTGGCCCCTTTTAGGGGTAAGCAGAGCTAAAGATAGAAAAACCTTTAAACATCTTCTTCTACAGAACTAATTGATGGATGATTACCAAACTTTGTCTGTAGCATTCTTGGGTACTCTTTTATCAAGTTTGCTCATATTAATTTGATTGGCCCCTTTTAGGGGTCTCTATAGCTAAAAATAGAAGAAAAAAAAACCCTTTAAACATCTTCTTCTACAGAACTAGCTGATGGATGATCGCCAAACTATGTCTGTATTATTCTTGGGTAGTCTTTTATCAAGTTTGCTCATATGAATTTGATTGGCCCTTTTTAGGGCTAGTAAAGCTTAAAATAGAAATACCTTTAAACGTTTATTTCTACAGAAAAGAAAATGATATTCATTGCAGGCAGATTCGGGCTGCTGTATAGGGGAAAATTTCAGCTTTGAGGGGGGAAAAAACATACTATTTTGAGGAGGGATGGGCCGAATTTCGCCGAATATTTTGGTGGAAAAATAAACGCTGGAAAATTTCAAATGACCCCTATATTTTGATACATGTCCCCAAAAAATCTAGTCTGGCAGAAACACTGAATTGGTGGTGTTCAACCTATCAGCGAAGTTTTACAAGTGCTTCCAAATATCTTGTCTGACTTTTTTGTTAAATTCTAATCAGAGTTGTTGTTTTTAATGTAGTGTTACTTAAACATGATGATTTTTTAAAATAGATATTAAAAAGTAACTTTTTATGTTAATCATCATTACTTCAGTTTTTATCAATAATTGGTGTTGTTCTATTTACCCCATGACACCCCAAGACGACGATGTCCCTCGACGTCGATGTCTACCTGGTGAATATTGTCGAGTAACCCCGTTGAAGTTGAAGTGAAGACCACCCTAAGACACTTTAACTGACATGTTAATACGTCAACTAATCGGTGCGATTTCACTTTTACGCATTAAATTATCTCCCTTCTGATAAAAGGAATATCAAACGTACATGCCAAGAAGTAATCCACCTCGGAATGGGATATAATGAATAAAAAACTGTATTTCTTTTCTATTTTAAGTTAAAATATCGGGTCTTAACAGAGATCGGGAAATAATTTTTGCAAATGAGACTATGTCTCCACCTGTTAGAAAACTTATGAGACATTTTTAAAAGTTATGAGACATTGTTCAAATTCAATGAGACATGCTTTTCTTAATGATTATAAAGTACGGATAAAGGTCTAAAATGTGTATTTTGACTTCTCCATGACAAGTTATATGTAGCTGCAATTGTAAAAGACCCTATCTTAAACTTGTTATTTGGAAAAAAAATAAAATATTGAATTTTAATTAAAATATATGATTGTATTTATCTGGACACATTCAATATGTATCTGTTTCTCATGCAACATTGGATCACCCTGGAAATATTAGCTACAATGCACTTGTTTGCCACTTCTTACTGGTATTTAGGTAAATTTCATCAACAATTGCAGACTTGAATTAAAATAATTTGGTCCTATTTAAATGAACATCATGGTTTAACAAACATTATATTTGTTGTTGTTATATTTTGGTGCCAAACAGTTTGTTTATTTGCTGAAGATGAATAAGGTAAAAAGGATCATCATTAAAATGAATCAAATATTTTATAAGTACCTTTCCATAATATATCAAGTAATATAATGACGTAATGTGTAATGTCCATTTTTTTATTTGCACTGAACGGCTCTTAAGTAGCATTAATTGTTGTCTTTTTTTGACAACTCTACATCAAAGGGACTCACAGCATACATAAGTCATGCAGTTCAGATATCTGATTGGCTAGTGACCTGTCAATTATTTTAGTGATGAAATATACATCACTTCAGCTCATGTTTTACTTTGTGATTGTTAAGTTTTCAAAGGCAGATTATTATGACCTAGATTTACTGCAGATTATTCTGTCAGTGCAACTATAAATAGAACACATTTTTTTCCTGTGGATTAAGTTTGAAGTTACCAAACATGATTTCAAACACAAAAAGGTTATGATTATTTTTGTTAAGGAAGGAAGATACAAAGAAAATTAATGAACTTTTTCATCTAATATTTTTATGTTCTTTACTGGTTAATCACTACGCAAATGAACGTTTAAATATTGTGTAAACAATAACTGTAGAAAAACTTCTTGAATTTTCACAAATCAAATATGTTTTTTTTTTATGTTCACTGATTGTTAAACCGCGAATTTTATACCTAAGCATTAAGCATTAAAAACTTACACATAAATTGATGTCAAAATAATAGATAAACGAAATTGTGTTGATGATTTATGAAATTCATTGTGCAATTTGCTTTGTTTCGGAATTAAATTAAAATCTTTATAGCCTATCATGACAGTAGTTCTATTCATGAATGTAATCATGTAAGTCTTTTGCAGTGGTTCACTTATGCTTTTTGTATAATTTATATGCTTTGTTAGAGGTTGTTCTTCAGAAACTGTTTCAAAGTGTTTCCAAACTCATTTGCACTTGGCCTCTTTTCAGGATCAGACGCCCATCCTCTTTTTAATACATCAGTAATCATTTCTGGCGGACGTTTTGGTGAACTCAGTGGTGGCCGCCATCCATCTGTCCTTGCAATCTGAGATTTGAGTACTTCCATTGCATTTCCATGGTAACCATACGCGAGTAAACCTTTGTTGATTTCATCAGCTACATCCTTCCCAAACCACATTTCCCAGAATATGAGAGAAAAACTGTAAATGTCAATCTTGTTGGTTTGGATCTCATTCGAAAGCAGCACTTCTGGTGCCATATAAGCCGGGGAACCATCTGCAGTTTTACAAAGTATCTGTGATACATTGGTGACGCCGACATCTGTTATCTTTATAACATTTCCCTCTACCAACTGAAAAAAATTAATTTCAAGATTATATCAAACATATGGAAACGTTTGTATTTATTTCCTTCTCCAATACAATAAATGACATCACTGAATGAATTACAATTATAGTTTAACAGTGTTTAAAGCTTTTTGAAGCATGTGCGTTCTTCATTTTCTAAAATTTATTTGTAATTTGAGTATCGCGATAACATATCAAACTTATAATGAAATATTCATGCAGATTAATTGGAAACATGCAGATTAATTGGAAACGTGCTGTTTGTGTTTAAAAATCTTTACGTCAATATAATTTATAAAGCCGCTAAGATCTAATAGCTGGCAATTTAAAAGAATCTAACTAAACCCTGAGTCAAACTAAGCAGTATGTATTTACCAGAACTTTTTCTGGTTTCATATTTGTGTGGGTATATCCTTTTCCATGAATGTAGTCCAGGCCAGTACAAATCTGGGTGGCATGGTCAAGCATATACTTGGCTGCCTCAGCAAATCGTGGGTGGTCACTGCCTAGGCAACCAGGAATCATGCGCTCATTTCGTTCGCTTCCTGTATTTCATTTATTTATTTTATATTATCTTTTTACACGTTTTATAAAATAATTTAATAATTAGTAAATTGCTTAAAAGTAGTAATAAAATTTAAAAGACTTTATTTCACACCTTATAAAAATAACCAATGCACTTAAATCAGAATTTGAACCATGTGGTGTTACAATGGCAATCATTATCGTTTCTAATGTACAAATCAAATGCATATAACACCCCAAATACTGTGAGTAGTAACATTTGTTTCCATTTCTAGAGAACAAAACATTCATTTTAAATGCATATTTCACATCATATAGCCTCGTTTACATGTTTAGAGTCCAACATAATATTTTATAAAATAGATATCGTACGTCATCAAGCCTTATTTTCATGGTCAAAAATTATATCAACTCCTTATTGTATTTGAAGCAACTAAGGATAATAAAAAAGTCATATATGTGAAATAAAAATATCAGTAAACATTGTTGGGAACAATATTGATTATATTTAAATCGTACATTGCTGCTAGCAGCTGATCTAATATAAGTTTGTCAGTTGTGTACCATTGAACTCAAGAAGGTATAATAACTTCATATTTAAATCCACATTTGTACAAGAATAGTATTTGCGTTTACAATTGGTAGCAGTCTTTCTATCGTTGCATCAAGTCTAAACGTATGAAAGTGTTTACACTGAATCCATACGGTTACATCTTCTGTTCTGTCTTCGATTCAAAGCTGACATTGTTGTTTTTTTTATTTTTTTACTTGATAATGAATACAATTTACCAGTATAGATTTGTTTGAGGGTTGTCTGACATAACTCCATCACCATAATCCACTGTAAACCTCTCTTTGTTTTAATATAGGAAGCACCGTAGTACCTGACGATGTTAGCATGTTTCAAATCCCTGAAATCATGGGGATTATTCATTATCTTTTTTCTATACGTCTGATTGATAAACATATCAAAAGATGACGGTTAAAAGTATGAAATTTGACGATATGAAATGCCGCAATGAATTTTGATAAATGAAAAAGATATTGGAAAACGTTTGTTCCCAATGTCAGATATACGTGGGTTTATCAAACATACAAACAATTTTCATTATATCTCATGATCAATTGTAAAAAATGAAAACAACACATTCGTTAGAAGTTTCGAGTTTAATGTTTTTGATTTGTTGACAAAAATGTCACATTTTGCTAACATTTGACAATTAAAGGACGTTTTTTACTGTAAAAGCATAAAAAATTTCACCTCATGGTTCTATCCTCGGTCAGGATTTGTGTGACATTGGACTGGTCGACTACGTCAGTGGCAACCTAAAACAAAACATTCAAAATCAGTTTTTATTTCTCGATATCTCTACATAATTTTTAAATTTATTGTAATAGCTTTTACGCCATTTTAAAAGAGAAAAATGTGAATGGTGTAAAAGAATATGTTGAATATTTGGTAGAACGAGAAGCTTGGAGTCTATCAATGAAAACGGGCTTTTTAAAAATATTCATCATCTTTAACAATTAGTATCACTTATTGGTAAGCCCCGTCCATGTCCGCCGTCAGTGCCTTTGCTGTGGTCACTTATTGCTTGATTTCGTCGGGTTGCGGTTTGCAAACGTTGCTATGCTTTGTTTATCTTTGTTGTAGTTTACAAGTAAAAAAATAAAGTATTGCCAGATACACACCTTTATTGCAACTGGTCTATTTTTTCGCGTAAGTTTTGACTTGTACACTTTGGTAAAACTTCCGCTACCAAGCTCCTTTTTATCGTTCCATTCTAACTCTGATAATTCAAAGTCAAACTTCATGATGTCGTTTATGTAGAAGATATCGAGTTGCCCAAGAAGCTCAGCACTTTCATTCACTAATTCAGGGAGTTTCTCCTTCACACAATCATCTTCTTCAATGTTAGTCCGTAAAGTTTCTATAAGCTGCTGATCCGCCTTTTATAAGAAAATATTGTACGAATTTTTAAATACATATTATATGTACTTATATTCTTGCATAAAACTTTAAGAAATTGTTTTGTTAAATCAATTTTTAATGCAATTCAAAATGAAAAATGTACGAAAATAATGAAAGTGTTATAAATAAACAGAAGAATATTTGTTATCATGTAAGTGTTTGCAGTTGAAATCTATTCCCTAACCCCAGTCTTTTTGTTCTTGAAATTAGAAACTAATTAGTCATTAAGGTATTTAACTGACAACATACATGTAATACTATATAGTTAAATAAAAACGTAAGTTATTAATCTATTAACACAATTACTGATTTGTTCAGAAATTGACCAATTTGTTGTTTTTATAATATAATAAGTTGAACTGTGGTCTATGCATTAGCAAATGCTAGAACAAATACCTTATGACTTATTATTTACATTATAATTATATATCCATTGTACATGCCTAGGTACTAACGTTGTTTTTATTACTCATTCTAACCAATATTAATCATTATGCATGTATTATATAACATCACGGCACCTTTACCACTTAACCATTATAGTATTTATCTTATTTAAATTAAGTTTTTGATAATTTAGATCTTAATAATAATATGCTTATCTTTATATTACCTCATTTCAACAATTTTCTCTACTAACCTTAACAAATTCAGAAATTCTTTTTGCCGCTTCATCAATGTCTTTAAAATAACGGTCAAAGAATTTTCTCAGTTTCCCGCCGAATTCTTTGTGTGACAGAATTGTGTCTATATACAGTATAGTTGCCTCTGACATCTTCTTTGCCTTCGTTGTGTGATTAAAATCTCTGTTACAAATGATTCAAAAGTATATTAAATTGTGCAAATGGCACATATTGGGTTGTTTCAAGTATTGCTCCAAACTCAATGATAATTTAGGATAACAATATGTAACGAGTTAGTCATCATGCTGGTTACCTCATGCATGTGACTATTTTACAACGTTTATAAGTAAACGAACATTTTTACAAGAAGATATTTGTTAATGCTCTCGTTTTAACTATACTCTTGAACAGAATATCTTTAGATAAAGTGCCATGTGACAATAAGACAAAATGCAGGACGAACATTGCACATGTTAGCCATGCATCTAAAAGCCAATTGTGAAGTTCGTTTTTTAAATTTATATAATTGCTTTGAATTTCTTCAAGTAAAGTGTTAAAGCTACTACAAAGCATTT